GAACAAGAACTAGAACAGAACTAGAACAGAACTAGAACAGAACTAGAACAGAACTAGAACAGAACTAGAACAGAACTAGAAACAGAACTAGAACAGAACTAGAACAGAACTAGAACAGAACTAGAACAGAACTAGAACAGAACTAGAACAGAACTAGAACAGAACTAGAACAGAACTAGAACAGAACTAGAACAGAACTAGAACAGAACTAGAACAGAACTAGAACAGAACTAGAACAGAACTAGAACAGAACTAGACAGAACTAGAACAGAACTAGAACAGAACTAGAACAGAACTAGAACAGAACTAGAACAGAACCTAGAACAGAACTAGAACAGAACTAGAACAGAACTAGAACAGAACTAGAACAGAACTAGAACAGAACTAGAACAGAACTAGAACAGAACTAGAACAGAACTAGAACAGAACTAGAACAGAACTAGAACAGAACTAGAACAGAACTAGAACAGAACAGAACAGAACTAGAACAGAACTAGAAACAGAACTAGAACAGAACTAGAACAGAACTAGAACAGAACTAGAACAGAACTAGAACAGAACAGAACTAGAACAGAACTAGAACAGAACTAGAACAGAACTAGAACAGAACTAGAACAAAACTAGAACAGAACTAGAACAGAAACTAGAACAGAACTAGAATGAGAACTGATCAAGAACTGCTGGGACCTTTCCAAACCTTATAACAAACTAAATAGCCCCTTAATTAAACTGTAGCTAATTTGTAGTATTTTTTTGTTTATTAATGTACTCATACTACGCTTGACTTGTTCACTTTCTGTATTAACTCTTGAGTTTTTTCCTATATGTATGACTCTTGCACATATTTGTTGCTGTTTTTTACAACTATGAATGTATTACTTTTTCAAATATATAAGAAAAAAACTTTATTCAAATGGCCCATAAATAGCAATTTAAATTGTTAAATTAGAAAAAAAAACCGATTTTTTTGTTAGTTATTTTTTTTTTCTCTACCAAAAGTATTTACTTTCAAGTACACTTATAGCCAACTAGAAAAAAAAGTAACTAATAGGTTGGTTACCCCACTACAAATGTGCCACTACGTCAAGTGATTTGTTTTCTTGAACAAAGAAAAAATTGTTTAATCTATTAAAAGTAAATAAACTTCTATTGAGTAATGAAAGTAAAATGTTATATTTATCGAGATTTGGTTTGAGATATGCAAAATATTTTAAGTATATAATGGTGTTTTTTGTAACACAGATTGCTTAAAAGAACAATAATTTTAAATATACATACATACGTATGTAATTTGAGTTTATTGTAAAAAAAGGATATATGACAAACTATTTTTTATAATGTTAAGACAATAAAATTTTTGTATGAAAGGTGACTTAGACATAAAACTACAAATTGTAGTAAATCAATTCTTTTAAATTTTTAAATATTTTTTGTAGTAAATTTTATTTTAGAAAATAAAAATGTAAATGACTTAAATTGTTAAAGGTTGTTAGTAAAAACATGTAAATCGATTTTAAAATTAGGCCAATTGAAACGAAAAAGAAAACATGCAAACTTATTTGAAAATCGTTTAAGGCAGTTGCCTCATATAAGGATATTCGTAAAACTTGTAAACTTTTGTTGTAAATAAAATATTTAATTAATTACATGAGAACTAAACATGAGACTACATGTTGTAATGACATAATATAGCAGTTAACAAGTTGATATTAAAGGATATAGGACAAAAGTTTTTGTTAAAAAAATATTTTATTACAAAAGAAAAGCCTGGAACAACTTTTGGAACATGATTTAATTATAATATAATTTAGTTAAATATCTAATTCCAAATAAAGTAATTTTTTTTTAGATTTATAATATTTTAATATTTTCCTAAACAAAAGGATATATGACAAAGTTTTTTATTTTTGTTTTTAGAAAAAAATTCTTTAATTTTATAAAAACTAGAACTAAAACTACGTGTTGTAGTAAAATAATTTTTCAAAAATTCTAAATTCTAGAGAATTAAAACAGCAATAAACCTAACAGAATATTCTAATTACTTTACTAACTCAAAAATGCAATTTTTTACGATTTTTAAAATATTTTCTAGAAAAAAGGATATATGCCCAACTTTTATATTATTCATTTTAGATAAAATTGTTTTAAACATATAAAAACTATAGGTAAAACATTAAGTTGTAATTTTAAAATTTTTGTAATAATCTACAATATTTTGGATTAAATAAAGATTTTTTGGTTTGTGAAAATTTCAAAAAAAAAAAAAAAAAAATAGTTCTACATTATTTTTCAAAAAAAGGATACAGGGCAAACTTTTTTATTTTGAATTTTAGTAAAAACTTGCTTTATTATATGAAAACTACATAAGAAACTACGACTTGTAGTAATGAAAATTTTCGAAATTCTTAAATTTTTTAAGTTTTGCAAACATTTTTGTTCGTCAAACATATTATAAAATAAAAATATTAATATTTTTTGAAATTAAATTTTAATTTCCTTTAACTAACTAATTTTTAGGCTAATATCGTTTTTTTATTATTTTTACAAAAAAATGGATATATGGACAACTTTTATATTTTTAAGTTTAAACAAAATTTGCTTTATTACATGAAAACCACTTTGAAAACTACGAGTTGTTGTGATAAATTTTTTGAAAAAACTGAACTAGAACTGAACTAGAACTGAACTAGAACTGAACTAGAACTGAACTAGAACTGAACTAGAACTGAACTAGAACTGAACTAGAACTGAACTAGAACTGAACTAGAACTGAACTAGAACTGAACTAGAACTGAACTAGAACTGAACTAGAACTGAACTAGAACTGAACTAGAACTGAACTAGAACTGAACTAGAACTGAACTAGAACTGAACTAGAACTGAACTAGAACTGAACTAGAACTGAACTAGAACTGAACTAGAACTAGAACTGAACTAGAACTGAACTAGAACTGAACTAGAACTGAACTAGAACTGAACTAGAACTGAACTAGATCTGAACTAGAACTGAACTAGAACTGAACTAGAACTGAACTAGAACTGAACTAGAACTGAACTAGAACTGAACTAGAACTGAACTGAACAGGAACTGAACGAACTGAACTAAGAAACTGAACTAGAACTGAACTAGAACTGAACTAGAACTGAACTAGAACTGAACTAGAACTGAACTAGACGAACTAGAATGACTAGAACTGAACTAGACTGAACTAGAACTGAACTAGAACTGAACTAGAACTGAACTAGAACTGAACTAGAACTGAACTAGAACTGAACTAGAACTGAACTAGACTGAACTAGAACTGAACTAGAACTGAACTAGAACTGAACTAGAACTGAACTAGAACTGAACTAGAACTGAACTAGAACTGAACTAGAACTGAACTAGAACTAGAACTAGAACTGAACTGAACTAGAACTGAACTAGACTGAACTAGAACTGAACTAGAATTGAACGAGAACTGAACTAGAACTGACTAAATGAACTAGAACGAACTAGAACTGAACTAGAACTGAACTAGAACTGAACTAGAACTGAACTAGAACTGAACTAGAACTGAACTAGAACTGAACTAGAACTGAACTAGAACTGAACTAGAACTGAACTAGAACTGAACTAGAACTGAACTAGAACTGAACTAGAACTGAACTAGAACTGAACTAGAACTGAACTAGAACTGAACTAGAACTGAACTAGAACTAGAACTGAACTAGAACTGAACTAGAACTGAACTAGAACTGAACTAGAACTGAACAAGAACTGAACTAGAACTGAACTAGAACTGAACTAGAACTAGAACTGAACTAGAACTGAACTAGAGCTGGACTAGAACTAGAACTGAACTAGAACTGAACTAGAACTGAACTAGAACTGAACTAGAACTGAACTAGAACTGAACTAGAACTGAACTAGAACTGAACTAGAACTGAACTAGAACTGAACTAGAACTGAACTAGAACTGAACTAGAACCGAACTAGAACCGAACTAGAACTGAACTAGAACTGAACTAGAACTGAACTAGAACTGAACTAGAACTGAACTAGAACTGAACTAGAACTGAACTAGAACTGAACTAGAAATGAACTAGAACTGAACTAGAACTGAACTAGAACTGAACTAGAACTGAACTAGAACTGAACTAGAACTGAACTAGAACTGAACTAGAACTAGAACTGAACTAGAACTGAACTAGAACTGAACTAGAACTGAACTAGAACTGAACTAGAACTAGAACTGAACTAGAACTGAACTAGAACTGAACTAGAACTGAACTAGAACTGAACTAGAACTGAACTAGAACTGAACTAAAACTGAACTAGAACTGAACTAGAACTTGTAACGGTTCAGGCGTTGTGCCCTATCCTTCAGGAGACCCGCGCTACCTATTATTCCGACCGTGCTCAGGGTTTGGAGTGGTGTTCTTGTCTTCATCAGGATAGGCTAAGAACCGCACATTAACTTAAAAGGTAGCTATTAATATTAACTAATAAAACTAAAAAAAAATAAAGAAAGTTTGAATTTAAATGTCAAGAGAAGATGGTGGTATTTCTTCTCATTCTATACCCTCCCAACCTTTGTATCTTATTAAATCATGCTTAAGACACCCTATAATGATTCCCTAACTACATGTTTAACTAATCTTTCGTGGAATAAAAAAATAATTTAAATGGTCATTATATAAGTCTAATAATTAAACATATTTATTATTAAAATGTAAACTGAACATGTTCATAAACTTCATATTTAACATTAATAAAAATTATTGGTTAATTTTTTGTTGTGTAGTGTAATTTGTTTATTTTATTTTTAAGTATTCTAAATTGAAATATTCAACAATGAAAAATTTTAATTTTACTTTCAAATGTTGCTAACATAATGCTTTAAGATATTATGTTAATAACATAATTGTTTTAACATTAACAAAAAAAAAATATTCAATTTAGAACACTTAAATACATAGAGAATTTAAATGAACAGTAAACACAATTTAAAACTTACCAAACATAATCCAACGATGACAACAGGCCTGTAGTTTGTTGAATTTGGGTTTAAATTATAATTTTGAATTTTTAAATTCTCATATTTTTATAGATTTTAGATTTTAAGTGTATTTATGTATGTATGTTAGTGTTTATGTGTGTAGAGTGTATAAAATGTTAGTGTATAAGTGTTATTACAATTTTAAGTTAATTTAAGTTATGATTAAGTTTAATTTTAGATAAAATTAAGTTAATTAAATTGAAATTAAGACAAAAATTGAAATTAAGTTAAGATTAAATTAGATTATTATCTAAAATAAGACAAAATTTAAGAAAATTAAAGTTTTAAGTTAAGATAGATGCAAGTAAAGTAAAAAGTTTTAGTAATTTAACAAAAAGTTAGTTTTAAGATAAATTAATTAGATTTTAAGTTAAATTAGATAAAATTTAAGATAATTTTTTAGATAAAATGATAATATTTTGTTGTTTTAAGATAAAATTAGTTTTAGTTTATCGTTTATATTAAACCAAATTAGTTTTAGAGGCTTTTTGAAGATAAAATTAGTTTAAATTTAGCGTTTAAGTAAGTTTAAGTAGGTTTTGGTGGTTAAATTAGATTAGATTTTTAAGTTTAAGTAGGTTTTGGTGGTTAAATTAGATTAGATTTTTAAGTTTAAGTAGGTTTTAAGTAAGATAATTAGTTGTAGTTTAGTTTAAGTTTGATTCTTGTAGGATTTAAGAAAGACGCTGAGGATTTATCGATGTTTGTTTCACAAAACTTCAAAGTTGAGATGATTATTCCGAATGATTCTTGTTCGATTTGAAATGATATTCAGGTTTGGTGAAATTAGGCTTGTAGAATTTAACAGACAATAGATAGTAAAAAGATTGTTCAAAGTTGAATGAAATAATGATAAATTCCTTTCCAAAACCTATACAGAAAATTTATTAATTATGGTCACTAAATTTAAACCATGTTATTTACCTTTATTTCCTTCACGAAACCGCTTATTTCTGAAGATTATTAATCAATATTTTAATAAAACGGATATTCTTTAAAATTATTTTATTTCCGTTTTGGGAGAATCAAATTTTTCTTTTGAAATAACAAAAATTGAAGTATAAATTTTTCAATACATACAAAAGTTTGTATAAAATTGTTATTGGAAAATTTTAAAGTATTTGAAACCCAATAAACAATTTGAAAACACATAGCCCTCACAAAACAGATACAGCTTAAGATATGCGCTAGCAGATCGGCAACTGGATCTGGAAAGGGCGTTTTTAAAACTAAATAATGTTACCTATACTTTGACCTCACAAAACAGATACAGCTTAAGATATGCGCTAGCAGATCGGCAACTGGATCTGGAAAGGGCAATTTATAATCTAAAATTTGGAAAGTCTAATAAGTCTTAAGTCCAGATGTCTTTTGCATGATATATTCCTGTACTGTTGCTGTCTATGTCTTGTAGTTCGTAATTATACTGTCCTATTTTACGCAAAACTTTGGCTTGAATGCCCACTGGAGCAAGTTTTGAGTTAAAATTATTAATTTTTGAGCTTTGCGCAAAATTTCGTCTGATAACAGTTTGTCCGATAGTAAAGTCCTTTGTCCGAGAACGTAGGTTGTATGTCCGCGCGTTTTTGTCGAAGGCCTTTTTAATTAACTCTCTAATTTTGTTCCGTATTAAAGTAAATTCGTCCTGTCGTTCGATTATTGAGTCACTGTCAGCCAAAAGATTAAGTCTTCTCAAAAGTTTATAGTCCTTACCGTGAGTCACCATAGTCTGTCCGAAAACTACTTGGTATGGGGTTCTGCCAATGGATTGATGGATACTATTTCGAAGAGAACAATTTATGCTGTCAGTATATAGATCCCATTCCCGTTGGTCTTTTCGAATATATGAGCGTAAAGCTTCGTTAATGCATCGATTGACTCTTTCGCTTGCATTCGCTTGTGGGCTATATACTGCAGTCAATATGTGTTTAACACCGTATTTTTCTAGAAATTTCTCAAAATCTTTGCATTTAAATTGAGATCCATTGTCTGAAACCAAAGTCTCCGGAACCCCATAGCAGTTAAAAATGTCAGTCCGTAAATAATTTATAATATCCTTCGAAACAAATTTCTTAAGCGGTTTAAGAAAAGTGAATTTTGAAAAATGGTCCAGTACAATTAGTAGTCCAATGTGTCCCTTCTTCGACCTTGGAAATGGTCCTATTAAGTCTACGTATAGTCGTTGAAATGGTCGTTCAGTATCTGTCATCTGTCCCAAAGGTGGTCGTAAAATATTTGTCGGAGTCTTCGAAGTCTTACAAAGGTCACAATTTTGAATATAGTCCTTAACGTCAGTAACAAGTCGAGGCCAATAAAGTATTGTCGAATCCGTTCGATAGTTTTAGTGATTCCACCATGTGCCGATGTTGGTGTATTGTGTGCCGAATATATAACGTCTCGTCTTAGTTCTGTCGGTACATATAGTTTCCACAAATTTGATTCGTCAGTCTCACCAGAAGAAAATTCAGTTCTCTTATAAATATAACCGTCCAAAATTTTGTAGTCCGGTAACCCTGAATTTTGAAAATCGTCTCGTAATTTAAAATATTCGACAGTTTTAAATGCGTCCGAGTCAAGGTCAATTGCCGGTAATGTCTCCAACTCAATAGAGCTCAAAAAGTCTTCGCCTTCATGGGCCCGAGACAGCGTATCAGGGACAACGTTTTCTCTCCCACTTCGGTGTTCAATCGTGAAATTGAAACCTTGAAGTTTCAATGCCCACCGAGCTAAACGACCGGAAAGATCACGTTGACCCATCAACCACTTCAAACTTGCGTGATCGGTCACAACCTTAAACTCTAAGCCCTCAATGTACGATCTAAACTTTTTGATCGCCATCACTACGGCTAGGCATTCTAGTTCCGTAATGGTATAGTTTCTTTGAGCTTTATTGAGTTTATGAGACATATAGGCAATTGGCCTTTCTGTCCCGTCCTCGTCTTTCTGCGCCAATACTGCACCCACCCCATAAGTGCTAGCATCACACTGTAAAATAAAAGGTTTACTATAATCGGGATGAATGAGTAATGGTGCTGACGTCAGTTTTGTCTTTAGTTTGTCAAAAGCTTCTTGAGCTTGGTCAGTCCAATTAAAAGTCTTTTTCTTTGTCAGTAGTTCTGTCAAAGGAAATGTCAACGCCGAATAATCCTGTATAAATCTCCTGTACCATCCAGTCATGCCTAAAAATCGTCTTAAATGTTTTATGGATTTTGGTACAGGGAAGTCTTGAATAGCTTTAATTTTGTCTTCGTCCACTTGCAACGTCCCGTTCCCTACAACAAATCCTAAATATTTAACACGACTTAGTGCAAAGCTACTTTTCTTAACGTTGATTGTCAAACCTGCTTTTCTAAGATTCGTAGCAACCTCCATCAAGTGTGTCAAATGTTCGTCAAAAGTCTGCGAAACAACAAGTAAGTCATCTAGATATACAAAAACGTGAGTTTTTAAATTGTACGGAATGACCATGTCCATTAGTCGGCACAACGATTGCGGTGCGTTACAAAGTCCAAACGGCATTCTTGTAAATTGATACAATGGCCGATTAGGGACTGTAAAAGCTGTCTTTGGTTTCGAGGCTTCGTCCAGTTTAATTTGCCAAAAGGCGTCTTTCAAATCAATTTTTGAAATACAGTGAACTGGAGGAAGTCTTGATAAAATTCCGTCAATGTTCGGTATCGGGTAAGCGTCCTTAACTGTTACGGAGTTTAATTTCGACTGTCCACACACATCCTAACTTTCCAGGTTTGACAACAACGACTGTGGTGATGACCAAGGGGAATTTGGAGCTTCCTCTATAACTCCGAGAGAAATCATACGATCTAATTCCCCGCAAAGCTGTTTCTCTACCGCCGGTGAAATCGGATATAAACGTTGTTTATAGGTTTTGCATCACCCGTGTCAATACTATGCTGTATAAGAGTAGTACAGCCTAAACCATCTACTTCAGAGTTAGGGAACG